AATGGTAAACTCAATCTGGCGATCAGGCGGTCCTCTGGGCAATTCATCAGGAAAAAGATCAAGGTATTCGCAAACAATAGAAACTCGCTCCGGAGTTTGCTCACAATCATTCTCGGTTACCACAGATACAAGATAGCCTTGACAGCTACCCTTGGAAAGGTTCTTCCTAGCTTGCATAGAAGAGATGACTCGAGGCACAGTCCTCGACTTCACCCCATAGAAAATAACTGGTTGATTGGATTCGGGAAAGAGGGTGACTTCGCGCTCTTGGCACCGGATGTCAGCTCGATAGCGAGTGAGCCAGTCCATGCCCAAGATTACATCAAAGTCCCGCATTTCAATAACATAGCAATCGGCCTCCAAAACACGCCCACCAATACTGACTGGAAGACGGTAAATCATAGAATTGGAAATAATAATCTTTCCCGAGGCTAGACTAACCTCGAGAGGGTCACAGTTGCACAAATTATCAATAGAAAGGGCATCCAAGCATCGAGAGGAGATAAAGGAATGAGTAGCTCCAGTGTCACATAACGCAAAGATAGGCACATTGGATAAAGAAATCATGCCAGACATGGTACCTGCGTTGTTGGCTGCCTCGTCATGAGCAAGGGTATAGACTCGGGCCTGACCCCCAGCCCTCTGCTGGTGTGGTGGGGGCTGCTTGTGCTGCTGCTGCTGGTAAGGTGGAGGGGGAAGATGCTGTTGCTGATGAGGCTGCTGGTACGGCTGTTGTCTCGGGGGCTCGGGGCAGTTGCTGAAGAAATGTCCGGGCTTCATGCAGTTGAAGCAGACCTTCTGGACATAACGACAATCTCCTGGGTGATAGCGGCCGAATTTTGGGCATCTCGGGTTCTGACCCTGAGTGACTGGTGGAGCGTCACGGCGGTCTGGTGCTCCACGCTTTCCCTTCCGGTTATCCCGGCGGGAATCAAACTTTCTCTTGCCTGAACTAGAGCCGGGCGGCGCAGAAGAAATAGGCTGAACCAGCTGAGCAGAAGGGACAGAAGCATCGAGAGTCTGATAACTCTCAAGCTGGGTGGCTCGAATAATAGTCTCATCAAAGGAAAGATTTCCCTGGCTGGCAACATGCATACGGAGAGTTTGGTTTAGTCCATCTCGGAACTTGTGGGCCTTCTTCAGGTCAGTGTCCACCATGTGTGGAGCAAAGGCGCTCATGCGGGTGAACTCCCGCTCGTACTCCTCAACGGTACCAGTCCCTTGAGTAAGATCCCAGAAAGCACGCTCCATCCTCATGCGATAACTCTGAGGATAATACTTCTCCATGATCACCTCCTTCATGCGGTCCCAAGTCAGGGCATTAAACTCTGCCTGCCTCAACCTCCAATAGCCGGACCACCATAGGGCGGCATCGCCCTTCAGCATGTAGCGGCCACAGACGACCTTCTGGGCGTCTGTGCACTGGAGCAAATCGAGATTCTGCTCTAACTGACGGATCCACTCCGCAACTGCTTCGGGCCCTTCGGTTCCGTTGAAAGTCGGTGGGGTCAACTGGCGAAACTGAATCACAATGTTGAGATGAGCCCCAGCCGGATTGGGAGCCTGCTGGTGAGGTGGAGATGGGGGCGGAGAAGGCTGTTGGTTGCGAGCATTACGACGAGCCATAATTCTACATTGCAAATTGGTCGAAGAGTTTAGCACAATAATAAAAGAAGTCTAGAGTTCAACATTAGAGTTCGCATTTAAAGGTGGATTAGTCCTAACCCCGATTTCATTCCAATAATCAATAATCAAACAACATGCAATAATCTCAAAGTTATTCAGGTATTCATACCTGAGCTGGCGCGGCACGACGAGAGCGAGTGGTCTTAACATGATTTCGAAACACATAATCACATAATCAACTTTTT